CTCTGCCTCTCCTCAAAAGAGGGGCGAGCTGGGCGGAAGAACTTGGAAGGAGCCGCCCTGGGTGCGCTGCCAACTCCCCGGGGTCTGTTGGACCGCAGGCACCGGTGGCAACCACGCTTGGTATCCACAACAAGAGAAACAAACAGGGCCCCAGATGTTGTCACAGCCCTTTGTCCAGCCCCAAAGGAAGAGCCTCCTGCCAGCTGCAAGATGGCCGTCCTCTGGCTGGCCACCACTGCCTTCACATCCACCGAAGTACGCTCCGCCGGGCTACGCAGGAGGCGGCCTTGCTGGAAGCAGAGCGCGGTCTGGCTATACCTTGCCTCCCCTCCTTCTTATACCCCAGTGAGTCAGGGCAGTGTTCACCTTCTGAGGGTGATCTTGCTTAAAGAACGCCCCTCCCAGCCCCTTGGCCCGGGTAATGCTTCTTGTATATTTCCGTCAAGGTCACCTTCCTTCCTCGCTACAGGAACACAGAGCACAAGGAAGGGAAGACAATTCGGCAAAGCCCTGCTGGACGTGTTTGGCAAGGGCAAACCCTCGGAAGGCAGCCAAAGCAGCGCAGGTGCCCAGGCGGCTGGGAGCGGCCCCCACAAAGCCCTGCTAGCTTTGCTCCCAATTCCAGTGAGACCCTGCGGCCAGGGTCCCATCGGGTGCCAGCCGGAAGGAAAGCAAAGGGCAAAATTTTGTCTTTCAGGCAGAAGACGTTGCCAAGTTCGAAGGTGAGGGCCAACCCCGGCAACTATGCATTAGCGTGTTCTGAAAACCGACTCCGCAGAAGCACGTTGGCTCTTCCCGGCTCTGTGCCTTTAACCAGCCACAGCTACTGACATGAGAAGCTTGCAAAAAAGCTGGGAGAAGAGGAAAGTTTCCTCCTTTCTCCAGCTGCAAGTGCTCTCTCAAGGGGCAAAAATCAAACCACATGGGATAAATGAACTTGCTGAGTCTCCCAGAAGCATTGTTTCAGCATACGTATGTTTAGAGCCAGAACTCCAAAGGGATGTTGCTGGTATCTGCTAACGTTAGGTGAGCTAAGATGCATGTTCAGCGGATTAATTACACTTTTGTCTTGAACGGCTACTCTGAAGAATGCCAGAGTTGGCCTCGAGCATCTTGACAGAAAAGCAAAGCAGAACTGGCCCATCTCCAGCCACCCAAGTCACCTCACTGGGTCACTGGGGAAAAAATGAAGGAGAATGAAGGAACTCTGCTCTTGACTGGGATGTCTAACCACAGGGGCAACCAGAGAAGGGCCTCTGTTGGGAAAGGTTTCTATCAGTTACACCAAGCATTGCCTGAAAACAGCCACATTTATTTCCTCCGCATCTAGAAACAGCCATAACTGAAGAAAGGGCCAGGGTGTATTCCAAATACCGCTGCTCAGCACCAGTTTCTCAAGAGTCCAAACTGCAGCTTTCTCCAAAAGCTGCTTTCCCTGCAGTCCTTGACGGGTTGCCTCACATGTGCCTGGAGGAACAGCCCTTCTACCCACGGCCAAGGGGCCCAGTCCAGCTTCCCTTCCCTCACTTGTTTTTCAGAAACTTCTTGCGACTTGTGTTTGGGTTCAGGCGTCTCCTGCCCGCACCCAGCGCCGCATCCCGGATCTGCAGATTGGCTGCCCGGCTGTGGATATCGTGTTCTGCAAAGGGAGAAACTCCAGCCACGTAATCTGGGTCAAAGGCGTCGGTCTTCTGCCTGGCCTTGCGGGAGAGCCGCTGCTGGGGGAAGCGCTGGTCCTCCGTCAGGTGGGGGCTGCTGGCATGCTTGCCCCCTCGTGGAGCCGGCAGAGAGTACTGTGGAGACAAGCCCGGGCAGGCTGTTAGCCCCGCAAGGCAGTGACCTTCCTGGGGGCAGCAAGCAGCCTCGCTTTGCCCAACCGGTTCTCTTGCCCCGGGGCCGCTTAGCAGGGGGCGGCTGCTAAAGGCAGCTGGGCTGCTCCCGGCCCACCTCCATGTTCCTCGCAAGGGAGCGGAGAGACAGCCCAGGCGCTGGCAGCCACCGCTGCAGGGGAAAGGGCAGGGGCAGAAGCAGATCTCCAGAGCGGAGCACTCACCCGGAGGCCGCGCGGGTTCAGGACTTTGGGGTTCTGGGAAAGGTGCAAGCGGAAGCTCCCGTCGTCCTCCACAGTCACAGCCACTTTCTTCAGCGTCTTGTTCCCACAGTGGGGGCAGAAAAGCCGGGTCATTTTTGACGTTGTCCTGGAAAGCAGCAGATCAGCCCTGTGAGCGCCCCGGGGCCCACGGCTTCCTGGCCAATCTCCTGGCTGTGCCCCAGCAGCGCCTGCTAACCCCATACCTGAAGCAGCCGTGGCAGCGCAGGATGTAGTTGCGGGTGTGCCGGATCAGCAGACCATTCAACGCCAGCACGTGTAGCCCCATCTGCAGCAAAACGTTCTGAAAGAGGCAGGGAAGAGGCGAGGCCAGGTGAGCCGGAGCACGGCAAGGCCCCAACTGTCATCAACGAGGGCCAACCGGTCTTGGGGAGTCCACTCGCCTGCATAGCAAAGTCGGTGGTGACGCAGCCAACCTGCACCCCGGCGGGCTCATCCCCCCAGCAAGCATTCTGCTGGATCTGCCCAATGTTGGCAGGTGTGATCCAGCCTTCTTCCTTCCCGCTGTCCTCCTCGTTGCTGTCCTGGCCTTCGGGGTCCCCCGTCTCCAACAGGAGAGAGCTTGCTTTCTGCGAAGGACAGAGCGGCTGGGCAGGATCCATGGTGCACGGTGCCTGCCAGCCCACCAGTTCATGGAATCCCCTGTGGGCCAGTGAAGTAGCCACCCCAGCTACTTCACTGGGAGCTACCCCTCCCAGGAAGGGAGGCAGGTGGGCCTCTTACCAACAGGTCCTGCAGGTCCTCCTCTATGCTAGGCAGAGGGTTCCTCCAGAACAGGAAAGAAGAAAACTCAGCGTCTCTGAGCACCGCAGGATCCGTTGCCTCTTCCCCTTCGCCCGCCAAAGGGATCTTCTCATTCCCTGGGCACTTTGTCTTGGGTTGAAAGCGCAAAACAAAATGAATCTCAGCCAATGCCAGGCCGGTGTGGCTGCCTCCCTAGAGCCACCCGTCAATCAAGGCAGCTGCCGGCGCAGAACTGTCCCCAGGAATTGGCAGAGAAAAGCCCTTTCTCTGCATTCTCCCCTTGCCCCTCGGAAGTGTCAGCCTTGGGCGAGGGAGAGAGGCGGCCCGGAAGAGCTTCTGTGGGCCCTCATCGCTTGCCACCCAGGCCAGTGCTGCTCTCTCCCACAACGGTCAGCAGAAGGGAGGGCGCTTCCACCACCCCATGGAAGTGGGCAGCGTCAGGGAATAGTCAACCCCAACAGTTACCTTGGAGGGAAGATGGAAGCCAGGAACATCAACCGGCGCTTCGGGGTGACGGTTCGTTAAGCTGAGCTTCACCTGCGAAGTTCAGGGCAGGGAGAGATGGACCGGGAGCGAGTCCTGAGCGGCCAGCAGCAGTGCCACCCCCAGCTAAGAATCCCCTTCCCCACCTAGCCCGTTTTTAAGCCACAAGATGAGAGGACGGAGCAGAAGAGGGGGCCCTGGCAGCGCCGCTCGGCCGCGTGGGGAGCCGCAGACGGGAAGGGAGTGGCCGC